CCCACTCACATGTCAGTTATCTTTATCAGGTTTTTCCTCAGTCTCTGAGAGGTTGTCGACCAAAGGAAAGTGCCGCTTTGCAGTGGCCCACGGTATGCAGTCTTCTGAATGTAAGAGTTGATAATTGCACATGCCTTATGCCGTCAGCATATAAAAAGAATAGTAATGCAGGGAGTATCTGGTTTCGTCTATCGTGCTGCTCAGATATTCGTGGCCTAGTTGAAGAAGCGAAATCACTTCTAAATACCATCACAAAGAAGCTAGTGTCTAAAAGGGAAACTTATAACTGTGAAAGTGATAATGTAGCGTCACACACTTCCCAAAATCAATAGCCTAGGGTTTGACGACTCTCGACATTGATGCTGACCTTGATAGTTTAACCAGACTAGCTAGGCTGAAGGCACCCGATCAAGCATTTTCGCCATTTGGCAAGCTGTCGTGTTACGTTGCACTGCTTGTAATCGACCCTCCAGCCAGTTAGTTGGAACGCATCGGTATCTTGGCACAACCATCCAAATATAGTATTCCATCCGACTAGGCTATCGTGTTCTTCCTTGGTCTCGTACCCTTGGGTAAATAAAAAGTTCGCATAATTAGTAATTTTCCTTTACGCCTGTCAAGTTTGCACCAGGACAATTTCTAAAGATCAACAGAGGAGGGGGGTCACATTCTGAAGAACGCTCACAGACTTTCAGGAACTGTAGTGTTCATGCATAAGGATTTAACCCCTGCTAACCGAATCAAAAAACGAATAGCAGAAGAAAATCTCAAATCCACATTAGTTGCAGGGGATAGAACTAAGAGTGATAGGTTTTCATATAGTGAGGCTCTAGCACAAAATGATGTCAGCTCCTCAATGGGTGGGACGAAAACTCATTTAAGTGGTGGTGTCGTCTTGCACACAAGTGCATGTAGTCTCCTAAACAAGTGGACTGAGCACAGTGATGTGGTAAGCATAGAAAGCTCCGATATCGCTGATGTCTCAAAAAATCGGTTCTGTTCTGAGACCAGTGACGGTGAAACACATTTACGGGGATTCACTCTTTTTAGAAGTGATAGCTTGGCACGTAGAGGTGGTGATATCATCCTCTGTATTAAGAATACCTCAACTGTAAGAGACATAGAAATGGTTGCTCACGAAAGTGAGACGTATGAAATGCTGTGCCAACTACTAAACTGCAAGGGACATGGTGCTAGCCCAATCGCAGTATATCGAAGCCCTAAATAGGAAGCAAAAGACTTCCTCCGGAATAAGCTAACCCTATGGACAAGTAGGTGCAGATGTCTAGTCGTAGGGACTCCGGTTGACCGAGACAGGCCGGCAAAAGACGCAACACGTAGTTCGTTTGATCATATGTTGGTGGAAGTATTAATTTCCTCGGCCCTTATACAGCACACTACGGCAGGAACCAGATACGATCAGCAGCATGCTCCATCAGTTCGACACTTAGCACACGGATGACGTAACATGAATCTGGCACCTTGCAACCCTTGGTAAAAGTGTCCATGTTGTGCTCATCTTCAGATTCACACTAGCCGTTATGAGTCAGACCGATGCCCCAACCAGATCCAATCTAGGACAATCAGCATGGCAACTACTAACTTGGCAGCCTCTTTGGAGGACTGGAAAATAGATTCAGAAGCCTCAAGCCGCATGATGGTCCTTTAAACAGTTATTCGCACAAGTAACTCAACTGTTCGTTCCGTGAACTGTCCCAAAGCGACTGAAACACTGTCCTTCATGAATAAACCGCAAAATCCGAGGCTCACTAAGATTCAAGGAAGTGTTAGAGTCTCGCCACCAACCTTGGAACTCCCGAGGTGAAATAGCATTACAAAGAAGCCCAAAATAAATGTATTGTTGCCATCCGCCAGTCCCGAGCATATTTTGAAGCGCAACGCTAAGAGATTATTTTCTTACATGGACCATGAGAATGAAACGTGTCGCGGTATACCGGCTCCAATCAAAGATACAAGGTAAGTACTGAAGCAAACATGATAAGGAAAAAGCAGAATCTTTGGCTAGATATGTTGCTGACATCTCCACCCAGAAGTCTTTCTTGGACAACAATTCAACACTAGAAGCACTGATGTCCAACGGAATAATCTCTGTAGACAGAGACTGCAACGATGCATTCAAGACTCTAAGTACTCTGGATTTCACAAAATCGACAGAAATGGATGTCCCCAAGGCTGTTCACGGAGATTGTACGCTACGTAGCTGGCTCACTGACTGCTGTATTCTGACTCTCTGCGAGGGCGCACTCCCCTATAATTGGAAAGACGTCATAGTTATACCTATTTACAAGGTCGGTTCTGGGCGGCACCCATCAAGTTACGGACCGATCAGTTTAACTACTATTCTAGTAAAAATTATAAAGGGTAACCATAAAAGCTATTAGATTTCATCTAGACAGCAACGCTGTCGTCTCGGTCGCAACATGGCTTTTGCAGAAGTTACCCTTGTTTGACGAATCTTCTTACAGTCAGAGAAAGTTGGGTTAAGTCTGAGCATGAAAGGACACCTGTAGATGTCATTTTCATAGACTTCATTACGGCGTTGAGCAATGTACCTCAAACCAGGCTGCTCGAGAAACTAGAAAGTTCGGACTCACTGGTAATCTACTTGCATGGATCAAGGATGTTCTTCGTTGATGGGGGACAAAAAGTAAGGATCATTTCTAAACGCTCTTCTTGATGGTTGAGAGAGAGTGAAATCCTGCAATACAAAGTTCCAGGTCTTCTGTTATTTCTTCTACACAGATGGGCTGTTGAGTAGCCCGAACTCCCCTTCGTTTCTCAGAGCCGATGGTGTAAACATCTGAAGAGAAATTAGGGACGGCGAGAATGTACGTACACTTTAGACAGACTAGACAGCTCGTTAGCCGAGTCAGAGAAATGGCTGACGCTTATCATCGTGCGTAAATATGCACACGAGTCATACAGATGACAACACCTACTAGACTGGTTGGGTGCCTCTATCGTCAGTACTGACCCAAAATGGCCGAGAAGTTACGGTAAGCAATGATTCTACGACCATAGCGCACTGTTGGCCGGTTGCATTCCCAACTTTCAGGGCACGGCGCGTTACGCAGAACGTTTACAAAAACAGGTGGTGGTAGTTTCACCACTTCACGCACATTCCTAGCCAGACCTTAGGTAGAAAACTGTGCACAAGAGGTAAAACGTTGTCTGACAGGTAAACTCAGACCTCCTGGAAAGAGTTCAGAGGTTAGCCACTCGTATGACTCTTGCAATGGTTAGTATGACTTAAGAATGAACGAAGGAGCTGGACCTCCTCTCTTAATCCTATCGCAGACACAGAGATCAAATCTTGCCATACAGGATTCTATGAAATGACCTTGGACCCGGTCTTCCTTTCTTTTCCTTCTCTGTACGTAGGAACACCCCAGACGACGAGGCAGGATGATGCAAATACAAGGGAAGAAAACAGCCACCGTAGATTTCTGGTTTTTGCGCTGATTAATCAACTCCTAGTACCAACTCCCGAAGGTAGGTGTCCACGCGATCAGCTGACTCGCTCAAAAATCGGGCTGGAAAAGCACAAAGATCCATTAAGAAATTGCTAATATGGTCTCAAGGCCTTCTAACAAACAATGACTGAAATATGAATCTTGTTCAGCGGGCAACGATTCTGGAAAACGCCAGTGGCATACGGCTGATTCTGTTCTAGAAATCTCCAGACAAACATTGGCGACGCAGTAAATTCCCTTTTATGCCAGCGGATCTTGCAGAACTACTTCCATTGTCTAAAGGTGAGACAAATTTTGTTATTTCGCTTTTTGTGACAATTATACGCAAGAAGCCTGATAACACTTTTACCCCCACCGACAAAAATCACTGTCCTTAACCGGAGTGACTCTAAATGTTATCCTGACAGCTGTTGACACAATTCGATCTCCTTATTTCATGAAAGGCTACATTTCTAGATGCAATAATAACTGAGATGACCAATTATTTCCTTATTCGTCACTGAGGTGTCTTTTAAAGTCACCAGCCCAACGAGCGGGTCTGGGAGCTCTCCCCAAGAGATGTGGCTCGCTTCCAGTTCCAGTCGACCATGGGAGACACTTAACACGGGTTTCTCATATTTAATCGTGCTCAGGTGCGCACTGTAGGTACAAAACTTCAATTATGCCAATACGACACAAGGAATGGAGGTTGTCGTACCCTCACAAGTCATAACTATCACCACCCACCATTTGGAGGTAAGTGATTACTGCATTTTTATTGGTGGGTGTGTTGGTAAACAAAAGTTGGCATTTGTGTTCGAGGTGCCAGTCACTGCAAATTAACTACTAGCTGATAATGGTTTTAAACCTCTAGGTTTCTACCCCTCAGTGAAGTATACTACGTTGTGTAACATTCCTGTACATGGTTAAATTTTAATTTCACTGCACAACACTTGCTACCGGAGTCCACTTTGCTCATTCCCTGACTAACTTACATTTTAAGTAGCACATCCCAGACCTCCGACACTTGTTATCACACTGAAGTTAACTAAGGCATTCCAGGTAGCAATGCTGCGGAACCAATAGGTCCATTTGGCTTGGTAACCAAACAGAATGCTATCTTCTTCCAATCATTTCATTTCCTTGCACCCTCGTAGACCATTCTAGTTAAGCCCTTCGCTGCTCATCACTCACTTTCGTTGATTTACTGACGACACGGCAGCCAATGACGTTCGTAAAGGTTTGATTGTTCTTATCATACAGCATCTGTGTTTGCTTCCACTTCACTTTCAAAATTCAGCCGGAAGATCGATGACAAAATGCTCAACTTATTGATTTTAGCAGCCCCATGGGCTTCCAATAAGCTTCAACATGCAATACTTCATGGCTAATGCGACAACTTTAGACATTTTACCGGTTTTCGAACAATTAATATGGCCCAGACACCCAACTTTCTGTAGTCAGGTTAAAGAGACAGTGAAAACGTTGCAGAAATTACTTGCAGAAACCACAGGACTAAATGTGTAGATGGCAGATACACAATGCACGGTAAGTGACAGTAAAGTAAACCAAGAAAATCCAAAGTTTAGGTATGACTGTGTCATTTTCGCTCGCACACTGGGTAGTAAAGGAAATCTGGGAGCACTATTCGGCATTTAGGTGGTCATTTACCAGTATGCATGCCACTTTAAGTCTGCGTAGAATGGATTCAAGCAAGAATTAGAACTCATTCCGAACATGACACATTTATTTCCCAGGCTGCAAAAGTGGTTTGCTGCCATCCATGTGATCGGGGTTGCCTGAACCAAGACCAGCGGTGTGGGCTGTTGAATAATGGAGAGGTAAAGGTGGCGAGGATCATGCTGTCGTTGAAATAGAGCCGGGCCACGCGATACAATATATTGAGGGAAATCTACTGGGGGATATTGACGTCCTTACCACAGGAACCAAGCCTTTATAGGAAACAGAGTGCCGACCGACCCAGGCTGACCTAACGTTTAATGACATGGCAACAAACATAACCAACATTTGCAGACACCACAAGATATTTTCCTGGCTACCCGTAACAATGGGTCCACAATAAAATTTCACAACGTTAATCAAGATATACTTCTGGATCAGAGGCAAGTCATTTTTACGGCGAGATCAGGGCCGCGTCGTGCACAATCACCAGTGGATATTGTCATTTTCACTAGGGCCAAATAAGATACCATGCAGTTTCATTTGTGTTTGAATCACCGTAGATGAAAAGAGAAGCCATCAAAGTTATGTCCCCGAAACTTAAATTATGAAGCTTTTAGCAAGGGTGCAAATAGACGATCCTCCTAGAATACTCAATCACACTTCTTTATTTAGCTTTTGATAAGTTCGGCAGAAGATTTGCGTTGCATGGTGGTGGTCTTAACGTGGAACGGTGAACTCTAGCAACGGGCATGAAGGCGGCAGACTACTCAGCGAGTGAGCATTTTGTGGGTAAAAACTCACGATTGATGTCAAAGTATACGTCTCCATACGTGGACAGTTCACCAGGCCTTCGTTTCCCACTGAGCGTACCACTATGGTACAAAATAGTAGCCTCTCATATAGCCTGAATCTAGAAAAAACGATGAAATTATTGACATCGCAAGTTGAAGCTGAGCCTTGGTAAGTAGCAATATGCTCTGTTTTCTGTCGCATCCATTCCAAGGCATGGGGAGTATGTGGTGATCACTATGTCTGAATTCCAGGCAGCACCTATTAATCAGAAAGAAGACCAGGGAGCAGCAGGAGGAGACCATGACAACTAATTAGGGCCAATAGTTGAAGTTAATATCCTCTGAAGCCTACACAGGCTTGCTGGCATCTCTTACTGAGAAAAGTAACAGTTTTATCCGATAAGTCACGCTGTTGGTGTATAAAATGCGTCACTTCTTTGCGCTGGTGCGCAATTGAGATAGACCAGCTGCGGTTGAGTAGGTATGAAATGTGCCGGTGGTATGCAGATGGGGCGTGGAGGGTTATTTACAAGAACAAGGGGGTAGCAGCGAAAGGGCTGCGACGATAGGTCGGATATAAGACAGATGATTCATTACAATGCATTCGCTTTAATTCAGCATTTGAAATAAATCATTTTTGTTATCGCCATTAGGTAATGAGATAAGAATCTCATTTATGCGCAATAAACACTAAGGACAAGCGTAACCACCTGCATTTCGGGACAGAATACGTGAGTAGTCTATTTCAAAAGGAATCAGAGGGTAGGGGAAAATGTATTAGATAGAACGGCATTACCGGCTGCTGTGTACTGAGGTTTGCTACCAGGTGCTTGTCGAATACAGCAAGCTCATGACACGCATTCACGCTGAAAGGAAGCTCATATAATTATATAGCCTCAAGTGTCAAGCAGTCACTCATGTCTCTACCTTCATATCTGATGAGTGGCAGCCACTACACTTTTCACTGCTCATGCATATGGGTTTTACTTGACAGATCTATCTATCTCTATATGTAATGGTTTAGGAAATACAAATGAATCGTAAAAATTTAACTAATTCAAGTCGCACCCCTTTTTTTAGCTTGCAGCTGAATATGAACTCCTCATTTTATTTATTGGTAAAGACCGATTGCACGATGAATGTCTAGTGGTTCGTAAACGGGGTACGTTACAACAGAAACAAGAGTTGGAGTTAGAAGAACAGCGAGAAAAACAACGGCAAAAGCAATTGAAAGAAAAGGAAGCGATTAAAGAATTCACAGAGCAGGGAGAGAAGATTAAGATTGGTAAGTTCATTTCGCAATGGTATTCATTCCTAGTTTGTCTTTAGTACGAGGTATGATAAAACCGCCTAATGCATAAGTTGTTCGTGGTTTCTTTGAATTTTTGAGCATATATCAAATGAATATGATGTAGTGTCTTATGATATTTAGATATTTCATCAAGGTTGTGCTTTCAATTTCTTCATGATATGTGCGCTTATCTTGCCTTCGGTGACCGCATACCCTTATTACCAACGTATGTGAGAGTTTGGAAGCTTGGAAATACGTTCACCATCTAATTTTACCAATTTCATATCTTGCATTATCCCTCTCTTTTATCACTCGGTCAATAAGAACATGAAACCTAGTGTTACGCTTTAACAGTTCAAGCCGGCATGCCTCAAATCAAACGGCAGAAGATGAATTACGAGTGAATAAGAATAGCACAGTGGAAAGCCGTAGTACGGGGCAATGAGAGGATAAAGAAAATAAGGAAATGTGATATAACAGCTATTTTGGAGATAAAGTGTGAATACATCTATACCACTTCAATCGATTCTGAGAGATATCACCTAGAGTCTTTAACCGTCGGTTTCGGCTGTGTCGTGAGCTTCAGCTTGAACGTTACACTTCCCTACCCGGTTCAGACCAACATTCAGAGACTCTATGGACTTTTCTTGCATGGATGCCTTTAATGTTTTTCCCAACTTGTCCAAGCTGATAATATTCGATGACTCTTCATATTTGATCACCATTATCTCTGCGGGATTGCTTGCACCTACTGAAAACAACATGGAAGTAATCCTGAGATGAGGTGGCAATGTTTGGGCACGATGAATATCGTCATTTATTGATTTTGATATTCTTGAAACGCCGGCATCGGTGACTCGGACATGTAATACTTGTTTCATCTCAGCAACTTCCACACCGCTCACTGTTCGCTTGCTCTGGGAATTATTGGAAGAACTGAAGAGGTGACCATTGTGTAATGTCGCAGCGTGAAATGAAGGATATTTGTTTTGGGTTAGCATCTATAGGCGTCTCCCTGAGTGGAGTCTAGTAGACCATGCAACTCAGTGACTTAACGCGTTTGCAGAGATGACTCAGAATCGAAACCATTAGTGATTGTACTGGAGTTTTCTTGTTTCTCTTATTACTGGAAAGGAAGACGAAAACAATGAATGCTTCCTTAGAGGTATGTTTGAGACTAATCTTTTAATAATCCAATTCCGTTTTTATTTTCATTCTCTTTTCCGTTTCCTGTGTCTTCTTAATTCTGCCTTATTGTTTTGCATGGCACAAATCTTCGTACCCATCATGTACCAAGTTTGTATTCCTAACCTGAAGCTACTTCGGCCAACAACCATGTGGCAAAACAGCGCGAAATCATGAACAGTATGGTCGATTTTTTTGTAGGTAATCATGTCACGGCGGTGCCATAGATAATGTAACCTGGCAAACACTAATATAGCCTTTTCTATCCGCTCAAAGATTTTGTCAGTCACGAAGCTATCGTAGCTAACCATACCTCCTGAATAGTGAAGTGCTCAACTACTTCACTCTATGTTGTTAAAAGACCGACAATATCAACAAAAGACGTGGTATTACTGCGTAATGGTGGTCGAAAACGCTATGTACCACACCAGCACATCAAGTCAGAATGTACCAAAATGAAAAATAAATTAAAAAAAGGAAAGTAGTAAAAAACAGTAAGAAATCATGATAAGCGAACAAGAAGGAATAAAAAAATACTCAATTGAGAATGACGATTAAGATATGGGTAATGTTTGGATACATCCGTGCTATTGACATTGGTTCTTAGCCATATCACCTAGAATCTCCACTACTGGTTTCTTCCTGTCACACAGACCCCAACCACAGCTGTCTACCTTTCCTTGAATGACTCAGATCAACAGTCATGCACCGATGGTATGTTTTAATCTGACTGTCCGTTGCACTTGTCTATTCGGAACCTACTTCAGCTAACATTGTGCGACGAGGTCGATGGTGACTAGGCATGCGTAGCACATGTTTCAGTCACTTAAGTCAGTGCATGTTCACAACCTCATCAACTGACTTTCTTTTTCTGCCCGAAACTCTGCAGTTAGTCTCTACTTTACTTACACCATACTGGCACGATAAACAGCATACCGCATGAAGACAACTGTTTTGGGACACCTGAAGCCTCTTCATTTCCTCTACCTTTAACGGTTATATATCATGGCCATATAATAGGGTAGGGTGAATTGTAGTGCAGTACACTCGACCCTCAAACGACAATAAGATATCATGGTAATGTTATAAATGGTGTAGCTTAGTGAAAACCGGTGTAGCCTTTTGTATCGGTGCCGAAATTTTGTCGGACGCTGACCAACCACAGCTGATCCGAATTTCCATGTACGTTAAGTGGTCACTGCACTCAACCACTTCACTCCCTATTGTTAGGTAAGATGCTATTGCAGGCCAGTTCGGGTGGCATACGGGTGGCGATAAACGTATCCCAAAACATTCTCGAATTGCCACTCAAGGTGTCTAAAAGATTTTCCATTTTGTCATCATCCTCACCTTAAACGATTGTGTCATCTGTGTATTCTATAGCTACTAAGGATTCTGCTGTGATGAGATCGATCCCTATGTAGTCGCATGACAGCAGAGAGACCCATGTGTACATCTATAATAAGGTTGAATAAGAATGGAGAGAGTGGACATCCTTAAAGGACACCATTCTATGTACACAACTCACTATAGGCTTTGACACAGTCACATGTGTTCAAGTACAGAGCCTTCAAAAAACCACCAGTACAGAACATTCCTGAAGAAAATATTTGTACTTGAATGATAATTAGTGTATTCCAAACATTTTTAGTTCCCATTAGACCGCATCGTGTTAGCGTCTTCGACTGATAGAACTATATCATCTGCGTACTCTAAATCTAGTGAAACGCCCCCCTTCTACAGGACCATGAATATCGCTGACAGACACTACTCAGCGTGCACAAGTCGTCTGCCAGTTTACCGTAGGATGCAACAATATGCCTATTAGGTAGCGTATCACCACCACCACCACCATTATCAACATAGGACCAGGCATTACTGCGTAACGGTCCGAGTTGCCACACCTCATATCAGCACATCAAGTAAAAAGGTAGTGAGGTGAAGGATGAAGATAAGTGAATGCAGTCAAAAGAAATATAAAGTACGAGAAGAAAGGAAAGAGGAGTGACAAAATAGTGAGATTCGGTATAGCGTTGTTAAGATGAGGATAATGTGTGTATACATCTGCGCCACTGACTTCGGTTCTGAGCCATATCACCTAGGGTCTCCAACCACTGGTTCCTCTTGTCCCGTGGACCCCAACCACCTAGTCTGCATCGTCCTACATGGCTTAAACCAACAGTCAGAGACTTCATACATTGGTGCCATGTTTTAGTCTGGCCACCTCGGGCCTTTTTCCAGCCTGAACCCACCTCAGCCAACATTGTGTGACGAGGCAATCGGTGACTAGGCATACGTAGTACGTGTCCCAACCATCTCAGTCGATGAAGGTTCACAACCTCGTCGACTGACTTACCTCTTCTCCCTAAAACTCTACACCTAACTTCTGCATTACTCACATGGTGACACCACGGAATACGTCCTATACTACGAAGGCAACGGTGGTCAAATACCTGTAACCTTCTCATGTCTTCCACTTTCAATGGCCATGTTTCACAGCCATACAGTAGAACAGAGCGGACTGCTGTGCAGTACACGCGACCCTTAATAGACAAACGAATATCACGGCGGCGCCATAGGTGGCGCAAATTGGCAAAAGCCAATCGAGCCTTTTGTATCCGTGCAGAAATCTCATCGGCAACTAACCCACCGGGTTGATCCTACTTCCCAGGTAAGTGAAGTGGTCAACACACTCAACCACTTCACTCTCTATTGTTAACCGCGGTACCGCTGAAGACCAGTCCTGGAGCAAAAATTTGCATTTGGGTGGTGAAAATCGCATCCCAAACATTCTCAAATTCCCACTCAAAGTGTTCAGAAGACTCTGCATCTTGTCAGCGTCTTCACCTAACAGGACTATGTCATCTGCATATTCTAGATCTAAGGAAAATTCACCTGTGATCCGGTCAACGTCTTTGTAATTAGGTGACGAGAGGGAAACCTCCATAAGAATATCTATGATAAAATTAAATAAGAATGGGGATAGTGGGCATCCTTGACGGACACCACTTGATGAGTATAGCTCCCTGGACAACTCACCATAGGCTCTAACATGCCCACAAGTGTTCGAGTAGAGAGCTTTCAATAAGGTGATGTACTTACTAGGCACGCCTTTCAGTGACAGACACTGCCATAAGACTTCTCGATCAACGGAGTCAAATGCCGCCTTCAGGTCGAGAAATACAGCTATTGTCGGGCGTCTGTAAGCATGCCTATGTTCCAGGACCTGGCGCAGTGTGAATATTTGGTCGATACATCCACGGCCAGGTCTAAAGCCTGCCTGGTTTTCTCGGGCTTGCTGTTCCCGAGCTCCACTCAGGCGTCGGAGAATTATAGAACTTAGGATCTTAGACACTATGTTTGTCAGGCTGATTCCTCTGTGGTTATCACAAGAGGACTTCTCGCCTTTCTTGAAGACTGGGATGATCAGTGACTTAGACCAGTCGGAGGGGATCGTATTTGATTCCCATATACTGGCTAACACTTCCGTTAGCCTGACTAAGAGAACTCTACCACCATTCTTGTATACCTCAGCAGGTAGTCCGTCTGGTCCTGCTGCCCTTCCCCGTTTCAGGCTACCTACCGCTTTCTCAACTTCTTCTAGTGTTGGGGGACCTGTCTCTATGTCCCATTCAGGGTCCGACTGGATAGCGGGCAGCGCAATGGTGGCTGGAGGCCAGTTAAACTGTTCCTCAAAGTGTTCTGCCCATCGTCCCAGTCGCCTTCCCTGCGAGTGAATCGCCGATCCGTCCTTCTCCGCTATAACCTCACTAACTGTTGTTGACCATTTCCCCCCAGTCTCCTTAATAAGTCTAAATAACTGTCTACTGTTACCGATCGCCGCTGCCTTTTCCATCTCTTTAGCCTTTGCTGCCCACCACTGTTCACGATCGTTGCGCAGACTTTTCGTCAGTTTATTTTTAAGTTGCGCTCGCTCTTCATTGTACTCAGAGCCTGCAGGGATGCATTCACGTGCATCCATTAGTTTGGAAGAAGCTGCTGATATCCACTGGCTCTTTTTAGCCATTATCTTGGAGTCGGCTACAGTCTCCAGTGCTGCTTTTACAGTAGACTGAAGATGGCACCAAGCTTCTTCTGGATGAGTGACAGTCTTTTGTTCCGATAACTGCCTAGCCAACTTCTCACTGAACACGGCTTTGGTGTTTTCGTTGTCCAGCAGAACTCGTAGTGGTTTTGTTGCCAAATTTTTTCTACGTCCATTGAGACGCAGGCATATACGTGCTCGGACCAACGCATGATCGCTGTCCAAACACGTACTCCAGAAGGAGCGGCAGTCTTCCACCGATCCTCTCCAGCGATGACTAATAGCAATGTGGTCTATCTGTGTCCATCGCTGAGTCGAGCTCGGTGGACGCCAGGTCAGACAGTGCCTTTCTTTATGTCTGAAATTTGTGCTGGCTAAAAATAGGCGGTTATCTGAGCATAGTTGTAATAGGCGATCACCGTTATCTGTACGTTCAGCTGGGATTCCGAAAGTGCCACCTAAGTGCCTTTCTGCCTCACTCAGTCTACCCACCTGTGCGTTGAGGTCACCTGCAACAACCACTACGTCCGAACGTTTGGCTTTCGAGAGGAGGTTAGACAGTTTATGGTAGAACTCGTCCTTCACTTCATCCGAACTACAGTCAGTGGGTGCGTAAGCAGAGATTACAAAGAGACAACGGCGAGTCTCACTATTCCTTTTAGTTCTCACTGTGCCGTTCAGCCTCATAGCGCAGAGGCGACTATCAACTGGGATCCAGTCTAGTAGTGAGTTTTCTGCCCTGGTGCTTAATGCTATACCTACACCTGCAAGACCACGAGAGCTAGCTATCGAATCTCCAGAAACTCGAAGGGTGAATTTTGCAGATTCACCAGATTGGTCAGGAGAGGTCAGGTGAATAACCACACTTGGGTCCTGTATGCGTGTCTCACAAACACAGCACACATCCATGCCCCGAGTTGCTAGAGTCTTTGCC